TTAGAGAAGGCTGGTCTTGAAGAAAGAGGTTCCTTTATGCTCTATTAAGAACATGGAACTAGTGGCAGAAGTGCTTAGAGAAAAAGCCTCCTTGCTTCGTTTGCAGCTGCACGTACATTTCCAGACAAGGACAGTTCCTTGTTCACTGTAGGCAACCCACGGGGCTCCCAGAAAATTGAATGCAGCCTGTAACAAGTGCCAAAGCACACTCGGGGATCCAGCTGCTTCCCAGGTCTAGGGCTGAGCTCCTGGGCTATATTTTCAGCAGCAAACTGGCAGTCATAAATGTCAAGCCCTGATCAGCATAATCTCCTTACTTCTTCCAGCTTAGTTCACAGCCAGTGAAGGTGGCATCAAGAAGATTTCCTATTTTGGAAAAAAATAATTGCTGAACTGGGATTAGCATAATATTAGCGTATTAACGTTCTATATGGCTTTTATCTCCACCAGGTTCAAGATTACTTAAGCATTTGAGGGAATTAGATTTCTTTGTAATCAAGACAAAACATAACATTTCGGTGCCTTCTCTGGTAGCTAAGCGTGGTTATTTTTCAGGTGGGGCATCTAACAAGAACATATCTGGTATAATGCCACAATAAAAATAAATTAAAAAGTGAAGCATAATGAAGATATAGCTCTTTGATACCATTTCAAGAAACCCCCACTTCCCCTCTTGCCGTCTTCAGTGCTTACGGCTTCGACCTTAAACAATGAAAGTAATACCTACAAGTCCTGGGTAAGCTATTTAGAGTGTCTAGAAGTAAACTCGGGAAAATTATTTATAAACCAAGCACAACCGCATTTTTAATAACTTGAAAATTGTTCTTGTCCTAACTAGTTCATCTTTAGATTGCTATACCTTTCTGGGCTCTACCAGTCAATGTGTATGCTTTTCTAAGCATTATTAAAATGCCAAATATGTTGATTTTCTTGACTAAAGCATACTGAATACAAATATCAAAGTGTGTGTGTGTGTGTGTGTGTGTGTGTGTGGTGGGGAAGTGATTCTAAACCAAACATGGAGAGATTGAGGATGCAGCTTTTTTTTAAATAACAACAATTTGGGGTGCTTTAAATGATTCAAATAGGTCATGCACGGATACCCTCTCAGTCCCAATGGATAGTCTCATCACAGAAGATGCAAAGTGCCCCTCACCTGCCAAATCTCTATAGGTGTCAGCTTTGCACAAAGAACATGACAACCAGCTTCTCAGCAAGGGAAGGGATCTGCCAATTCACCTACTTGTATATTTCCCAGACAGGAAAATTTAAAAGGTTTCCAGTTGGGAAGTTTGGTTGTTTACACTGATCCTGCCACTGATATGTTGCTGGGGCCTGTTGCTGATACCCTGTCAACTTTGTCCAAACCACCCAAAAAGGAAGCTGTAAGGGTACATGTGCCATTACTGTAGAATATGGGATATTAAAATAAAAAATATTCCAGCTCTTTGATTTCCTCTGATTTTGTGGGCAATACAATAACCAGAATGAGATAGCTGAAACCAATAAAATCTGATTTATAGCATTAAAGGCAATCTTTACAGCATTTATGGTACATTACATCTAAAATCCAATTTCACAGGCTGCTGTTTGAAACTTTCTGTTCAATCATAAATACACTACATACACTGTACCTCAGTGCTGTGGAGTTAGATTATATAACTATCTGTATCCCAAGAAGGTACATATTAAAATTTGGTTACTACGTTGGGGAGTGAGCTCAACAGGCATTTTCCTAACCAACTCTTCAACCAAAAAGATCTAGTCACTTGATAAATACTGAAAATACTAGCACTAGTATCATTAACCAAATTTTTTTAAAAAAAGATCAGATAATTTCATTCTGGAATAAAATTAATTGAAAAGAAGTCATAGAAAAATGGGGTGCTGATTGATGGTGCTGAAGGATACTTGCATTAATGTGGTAGGGTACATTTTCAAACCAATGAGCAAAAGCACTTCCTTGCACCTTGCATGGCACCATCAGTATTAAGAGAGACACATGGCTAAGTCTATACATGCTACTTTGGAAATATAACCTTAAATGTCTACATTCATATACTTCAGTGGAGAAGACTACATTCTGTTCAATTACTATAATCATTGTCAAAGAGAGGGCAAAAAATACAGTCTGACTTTCAGAGAACTATCATTTGAATCTTAAGAGACTTCACATTGGTTTTAAAAGGTTTTTGTCTTTAAAAGATTCAGTTCTCCATACGCTTTGCTTGCCACATATTAGATAAATGTAAATGGAGGGGCTGGAATCTTTGCCTGACCTGACAAACAAGCAGACTCCTGCTTTGTGAGAGAATGCACCCCTCCGCGCTTAAGTTTTCTTTCCTAAATAGATTCCAGACTCATTGTCATCCAGGAATGGGTACCATGCACTCATTATCTGGCTTATGTGCTATCCTGGTAGTTATTCCACAATACAATTCAGGATCCAAATGTAAATGACAACAAGTGGCAGGAGGAGTGAATAGACTAAATGGCAACAGAACTAACACTTATTAAGCCTCTGGCATGTGCCAAGCATTGTACTTTGCCAGGAGTGCATTGGGACTCTGTGAAGGCCTGAAACAAATACAGTTTAAGGATCCTCCTTGAGAAAAAATAATATAAACTTCAAATACAACATTAGGTTCCAAACTTTTTTTAAAAATATATTTTATTGATTTTTTACAGAGAGGAAGGGAGAGGGAGAGGGATAGAAAGTTAGAAACATCGATTCAGCTGCCTCTTGCACGCCCCCTACTGGGGATGTGCCTGCAACCCAGGTACATGCCCTTGACCGGAATCGAACCTGGGACCCTTCAGCCCACAGGCGGATGCTCTATCTGCTGAGCCAAACCAGCCAGGGCCCAAACTTATTTTAAACTTAATATTATTTAGAAGGGACTTGTGCAAGTGAAGGTCCAACACATAAGCCTCATTAGCAATGTTGGAAAAGCATCTCAGGATCTCGTTTTTCACATGTCATTTCTAATCCTCACAACTGTCCAGCAAGGTCAGCATTATATTTCAGGGGAGGACCCTGAGATTCAGATGGGTTACTGTAGATGGCTGAGTTGGGAATCTGTTCATTAGGATCTGATCAAGTTTGTCTATATTTAAACTCATGTATACCATTGAGTTTTTGTTGAACTTAATTGAAGTTTGGGTTGTATTACTTGGACTTCCTTGAGTTAGGATGGTATTTTTAGTTGTTTTAGCTCCCAGAAAATTCTTCCCATTAATGGAAGATCTAAAGTGGTAGTGCTGAGACTTTAGCATGAATTAGAATCACTTGGAGGGCTTATGAACCCACAGATTGCAGGGCCCCACCTCCAGGGTTTGTCATTCAGTAGGTCTAGGTAAAGTCTGAGAATTTCCCAGGTGGTGTGGATGTTACTGATTCAAGACCATACTTTTTAGTCACTAGTTTTGACCTAGAGAAACTGAGTTAATTCCTGCATTCTGTCCATGCATTGTCTTCCTCAAGTGAAACTACAATTACCGCAGTTCAGATTTCCTTTTAACAGCTCAGCTAGAACAATACCCAATCCCTTCATGAAAGCCTTGGGCTGGTTTAACAGACTGGAATCCAAAAGATGCTGAAAAAGGAAGAACATTAGTGAAGGGTTATGTTGGAAGCACAGACTGATTCTTAAAATGCAATCCAACCATGATATACTCATTGTATTTAAATTAGCCTCACTATTGCACAATTTAAAATTGTTAAATAACTGTAGCTAAGCAAGCTTACGTAATACTCTAATTTTTCTGTAAACTAATAGAAAAATAGAATCAATGAATACAATGAGAAGCCAAGGAAAGAGAATCACCAAGTGTGTGTGTGGTGGGGGGAGGACTAAGGGACTAAGGTCATGAAATGTCACTTGAAATTGAGTTAGTAGGGCTTAATCAAGGTATTTAAATGCATTCTACAACAGAGTACAACTTATATTCTGTATTTAAGTTTGATTCAATATAATAATGATGGACTTTTATTATATGATAGGTATTCAGTGATGCTTATGAAATGATTGTAGACAAATTATCACTATGACATACTACTAAAGTCACATCCATAAATTAGTTTAAGATGCCAGCACTAAGTATATTAAGGTTCAGAAGACTTCAGTTCACTTTGAACTCTTATATTTCTTGAACTTGTTTACGGAAAGAAGAGATGACCTTTTGCCACTAGTATCTCATGAATATTCTGTAGTAAAGCATCCTATGTATTTGTCCTTCGGTTGAAAGCCTATGAAGCTCTTTGTTTATTCCACAAAGAGTTACTGACACCAACTAGGTATGAAGGATATACAAATTATGATTCTGATCTAGCCTTCAAAGAATTAATCAACGACATTATCCTCTCTGCCTACTTAGAGAAAGAAAACAGAAATAGTACAACTACCCAATAAATCATCTCAGAGACAGAAAAGGTAATAATAATTTGAGCTTTGGGTTCATGGAGATTTTTCTGTTGTTAGTTTGTATAATCTATACAGATGGATGGTCAGAGATCCATAGTTTTCTCAGTGATGTTTGTATTGGAGAAAAGACTAATTTCTAGGAAATATTAGAACTATAGGCCCTGGTAGAATATTTTCTGCTTTCAGGAGCAGAGTTTCTAAAGCACATGTGTGTTCTGGCTTTTACATAGAAATTATTTAAAGAGTTGGAATTGGTGGTTGATAATGAGAAGAAATTAAGACTTTTTCCAAATAGAGAGAGTTTCAGAAGAGAAACCATTGATTTTCTGAGGAACCAGTAATAAAATATAACCTTGATTTAAGATTTTAAAAAGTCCTGTATTTTTCTACAAAATGTACCATTAATGGAAATAAATCTTAGTTCTGATTCCTAGTCAATTATCTAGTTTGTAAATCAGTATACAAAAAAACTGAATTCCCAACAATTATCATGGGATGCAAGTATCCTATTTAATAAAAGAGAAACATGTAAATTGACCATCCCGCCACTGCGCTCACCAGCCAATCAGGAGTGAGTATGCAAATTAACCCAACAAAGATGGCGGGTTAATTTGCATACACAGGCGCTTGGCGGAGAGCAGAGCAGGAGAGCCGGTGGCTTGGGGGGACGTGGCTCCCTCAGTCAATCCCCCCAAGCTGCTGGGTGGAGAGCAGAGTGGGAGAGCCGGCGGAGAGTGGAGCGGCTTGGGGAACTTGGCTCCCCAAGCCACCAGATGGAGAACAGGAAGGGAGAGCTGATGGCTTGGAGGACTTGGCAGAGTGGGAGGCCATGGAACGGAGACAGAGCAGGAAGGGAAAACTAAGACCATGGGGAGCACCAGGAATTCTGGGAATAGTGGTTCTGGTAGCAGACAGATCTCCTAGACACTAGAGCACAGTGAGTCTGGAGCAAGTTACTGTTGCAGTGGGGGATGTAGAGAAAGCAAAGGTGAGAGACATAAGTAAAATCAGAGTGTCTAGGAAAAAGTAAAGGGAAGATATCCTAAAACTTCCAGGAAATCTCCACCAATGAAGCAAAGGAAAAAAAAAGCCTCTATTATTCTGTGAGCAACAAACCAAACTGAGTTGGGGTCTCAGACAATTTGCTCATATGATTGCAAAGACAGACAGAAACTCCTGATTGGAGAGGGCTCCCCTGAAGGCTTCCAGACTGGTGAGGGTGCAGGTTGGGCTGAGGGATCCCCACACCCCCCAGTGCATGAATGTCGTGCACCAGGCCTCTAGTAGTATTATAAAATTAAAACACACATGCAATTGGCACCAGCAAGAGCTTTATATGCATTGTGCATGTGCGAGTCAACGTTTATTTTTAAATTGCCAGTGCACGTCATATGTACTGGCTGGTTGGTAGCTTGGATGGTCGGATGGATGGCCTTTTATATATATATATAGATAGTATAAGTACTAATAACATCTAGCACCAGCCGGCAGAGTGATCAATCGGGTGGGGGGGGGCTTTGCGATCATCCCAAAGAGGGAGGCCCAGGCCACCCCCTGCAGGGCGATTGATCAGAGGGTTCCTGGACTGTGAGAGGGCGCAGGCTGATCTGAGAGATCCCTCCTCCAAGTGCACATTTTCATGCACCGGGCACCTAGCCTTTACATATAAGAGGTTCCATAAGAAAATAACCATATGCTATATAATCTCAGTATTTATTGTCATTCTTTTTTCCTAAAATAACATCTATAAATTTACTTTTTACTACACATTTCATAGGCAGTTAAAAAATACACACACAAAAAAAGAATTCTAGTTGGTGTCAACTGTTTCTATTAACCCACAATATCTGGAAATAATTATTTTGGTCCTCTTTAAGAGTTGTTAATAGAAAACATAATTTAGTATAATTAAGGAAAGTAAAAAATTCTTAATAGAAGCAGATCACTTAAATGATACAACTACCTTACCAAAGAAAACTTCAGGTCACATATATTGAAAAGGGCCAATGTTAATATAAAACTAGCTTTTAGTAAATTTCATATGAAGAGATGTTATTGCAGAATGCTTGCTATGATAAGTCCAAATGTATTTCATAGGTGTCACCAGGTCTTAAAATCTTCGTGCTTCACCAAAATCTTCTAAAAGATTCTTCTAATGATTACATTTATTCATTTTCATTTACTTTCAAGTTTAAATTAAATCTCAGAAATTTCAAGTAGAAGGGACCTTGGAGATGATTTCATCTCTTCCCTTCCAACTCATTTTCAGATATGATTTATTGAGACCCAGAAAAGTCTGGTGATAGGTCCAGTGTCTCCATCCGGGTGATGAAAGAGCCAAGATTGATTAAAATTCTGGTCGCATGACTCACTGTCCATTGGTGTTGCTCTCATTATGCCACTTGATCAATGATCTAGCATGGTTCCCTGATAACTTATTTGGAATTCCATACTCTCAACAGCTATCTGAGTGCATTGCATCTGGGCATTTGAAGAGCAGGTAAAAAAGGAAGCAGGGAAATATCTATGGAACTTGGAACTAGCTATGCTTTGTCTAAATCATGGAACTATTGTAAGGATCAACTGGTAAAATGTAGGTAAACTGTCAAAACAGCAGGTTTGTAAACTGTAATGAATGATACAAATGTAAGAAATTTTTAAGATCATAAAACCTAAGACATCACTATTAGAAATTTTCTTAAAGAAAAACCTAGATGTTATGTCAAAGATGTAGAGGATGCCAGAAAATATCTATGCCAAATTTTACCCACAAATAAGCTGATTGGATACATTTTAAAGATATATTAACTATATCTTGTTAAGAGTAATCTTATTTTGAAAATATAACTGAGGTGGAAATAAACCTGAAATTCAGCAAAAATTTAACCAGCATTTGTAGAAGTTAGGCTGCTTTCTAAAATTTTACCAAAATGTTAATTCTAAGAGGAAAAAGTGAAACAAAACTATAATTTCACATTTTTACTTAATTAAAAATACATTTTAAGTCACTTATAAAACAGCATATTACTTTATTTACTGTCAGCAAATTTTATACGTATGCAATTTTGAGCTTCCTATGGTCTTACAGCAATTTATAGAGTTAATAAGGAATTGGATTCTCAAAAATTGATAGACTTTTTCCCTGTAAAAGATCAATCTGAACAAAGATTCACAACATAGTAAGTTTCCATACTCATGCTTTTTTCTGTGTCTGGAAAGTTTTCTATCCACCATTGCCACCAGTACCCCCATCCCTAAGTTGCCTCTACCCTTGAGTCAGCCTTGCAAATACTCATTAACCTTTAAGACACCTAACAACCTCTCCTCCAACAAATCTTTCTTGTCACCTCTTCCTCTTTACCCAATTCTCTGAACACATGGCTCTATATTCCTGTTATACCCTAGTGATATTTTTGAACTTAATTATTTACTAGTCTATCTCCTGGGCTATGAACACTGTAGATATAGGGAGACCTTACAGGTCTTTATTCTCATAACACAATGCTTGGCACTTGCCATGATCACTATCAGCTCAGTTTAACAAAGCTAACATTCCTCATCAAATATCTTTTTACTGACTATTCCCCACAGTGTAATTAAAAGGAGGCAATTTTAGAGACAGGCTTTCTTTTGATTAATTTGCTTAACTCAGCACATGACCATAAAAAAGCAGTCAAGTATTTAATATTTAGTGTTTACTGCTGAGTTTACAATAATAGTGTTTTAATAGAAAATGGAATCATGCAGGCTAATAAAAAAATTCAGAGTGCTTTAAAAAAAAGAAACAAGTGATATTCTTCAAAATAAATAATATATGGTGTTTGAACAGAAACAGACTTTCTGATTTCTTTTCTTTCTAGATTTCCACTTGTTTCTGAATATAGGAAAGAAGTGCTATAATGCCACCTCAAATTAATATAGCCAAATATTATTTATTCATTAAATATTGGGCCAGACCACAGCATAACAATGAAGAAAGCCAAGTCTCTGCTTTCAAAAGACACCAAAACTTAGTGGTGGCTAGGAGTGCTATTGCCTGGGTTTGAGTCAAAGCTCTACCACATATTAACTGTGATATCTTACTATGTAATTTACTTAAACTCTCTGCTACAAGTTCCTAGTATATAAAATGGGAATAATATTACCTATGTAATGGGGTTGTTATGCGTTAATATTTGTTAAGTTCTTTAAAGAGTGTCTGACATTTTTGATACAGGTATTTGACAAAATTTCAAGAACCTTAAATTCTAACAAAAAGAGATACACAAAACAACTACATTATAGGTAACCTGGTGATTACTGCTGTGAAGAAAATAAGAGGAACAAGAGAATAGAGGATAGAGATAGGTCATTGCTATTCTATACAAAGTGCCCTCTCTCAGTATGATTCTCTGAGAATTTGATTTTTGAACAGGAACCTAAATGAGTGAGAAAGGAGCTTTGCATTTTTGGGGATGAGCTTTACAAGATGAGGGACCCACAAGTGGAAGGGCTCTATCGGGGAAGACTGCTTGGAGCACTGAAAGAACAGAGCCAGTAAAGCAGGGAGAGTAGTGGGGAGTCGGGGAGGGCAGGGGGAGAAGGAGATTGGCCCAGGGCCAGTTCACAGTGGGATGGAGGAAGTAGGGCCTTCCAGATCATGGGAAGGACAGCACTTTTTAACCAGCATGAGATGAGAAACCACTGAAGGATTTAGAATGAAAGTGTAATATTATTGGACTTTTGTAGTAAAAGGTAACTGTAGCTGCTATGTAGAGAAGAGACTTAGGGCTGGGATCAAGAGTAAAAATATGAAGATAAGTGAGGAAACAACAGCGAGAGATGATGTGTCTTGGATGAAGATGGTTGCAGAAGAGACCTAAGAAGTGACCATGCCCAGCTGGTGTGGCTCAGTGGTTGAGTGTCAACCTATTGAAGGTCATGGTTCCATGACTGGTCAGGACACATGCCCAGGTTGCAGGCTCC